GGGAGCCCGATGCGGGACTCGATCCCGGGACTCCAGGATCATGACCTGAGCCGAAGGCAGTCGCTTAACCAACTGAGCCACCCAGGCGCCCCAAAATAGAGAGTTTTTAAAGGAGATGCTTTCTCTTCCTTTCTTCTCTCCCACCTTCCCATCCTCCTTACCCCTTACCATTCATCACACTGAAGCCTTGTATCCTATATATAACTGTGACTCACTCCTGGCAAATATTTTGAGAATATCTCGGGGCGGGGGTATATTATAGTATCTATATGAAAGACTTGGTCCTTTGAGATAACTTTAAAACGTTTTTGAATCTTAACTAGTATAAGGACCTGTGTATATATATATTTTTTATTTTATTTTTAAAGATTTTATTTATTCATTTGAGACACAGAGATATATATAGAGAGAGAGCATGAGCAGGGGAAGAGGCAGAGGGAGAGGGAGAAGCAGGCTCCCCACTGAGCCAGGAGTCTGATGTGGGGCTCGATCCCAGGACCCTGGGATCATGAACTGAGCTCAAGGCAGACGCTTACCCATCTGAGCCACCCAAGTGCCCCTGTGTATATGTATTTTTGATGACATATCTTTGTAGTACATGACTTTATTACTCACATTGTCTGTTGCCCTTTTTTCTTGTGGAGCTACATATCCAAGGTCTTTATATTATATTTTTACTGACCTCAGATGATCGAAGAAAGATATTTTATTTATTTATTTTTAAGATTTTATTTATTTATTTGAGAGAGAGCAAGCGAGTGAGAGAGCACAAGCAGGGGGAGCAGCAGAGGGAGAGGGAGAAGGAGACTCCCCACTGAGCAGGGAGCCCAACGTGGGGCTTGATCCCAGGACCCTGGGATCATAACCTGAGCTGAAGGCACATGCTTAACTGACTGAGCCACCCAGGTGCCCCAGAACAAAGCTATTTTAGACTCCAAAGGCTATTTATTGTGTTTCTTACTAATTGTCAGTTAAGCAGTTCACGGACTTAACTGTCAGTTACCAAAAAAATGGCTTAGATGCTTAATTGGTTCTTTCTAATATTGATTTCGATTTGAGCTTTTGGCCACTGTCTTTTTTAGGTCACAGAAAATTAAACATATCAAATGGCAAAGAATTTAAACTGAAAGAAATTGGTATTTGAATCAGTATTTTTTTTTAAAGGTTTTATTTATTTATTTGACAGAGAGAGAGCGAGAGCAGGAACACAAGCAGGGGGAGAGGGAGAGGGAGAAGCAGGCTTCCGGCGGAGCAGGGAGCCCAACATGGGGCTCAATCCCAGGACCCTGGGATCATGACCTGAGCTGAAGGCAGATGCTTAACGACTGAGCCACCCAGGTGCCCCTTGAATCAGTATGTTTGATATCTATTGGAAATTAATAGATTTAAATATTGGTGTACCTATAGCCAAATTAAAAATTAAGCTTATGGGGCACCTGGGTGGCTCAGTCGTTAAGTGTCTGCCTTCAGCTCAGGTCATGATCCCAGGGTCCTCGGATTGAATTCAGCATTGGCTCCCTGCACAGTGGGGAACCTGCTTCTCCCTCTGCCTTTGCCTGCCCCTCCCCCTACTTGTGCTGGTGCTCTGTCTGTCAAATAAATAAATAAAATCTTTAAAAAAAATTAAGCTTATAATGATTTTCCCCTTGTATTTGATAATTATGGAGTAATCCTAGTAGAATTAATACTATTGAGCAGTGAAACCCTGAGACCCAGTGTATTGAACATGTAATTTGCCAACCATGGAGTTGGGACGAAGACCCATGTCTCTTGACCTCAGCCCAGGGCCTTTCCATACTTGTTACAGTGAACTGTCCTTTGTTCTTTCTTCTTTAGGACATGCATGTGAGTGGATGTTTCTATGACATACAGGTGTGGGAGCTCTGATGCAGAATTTCTGAGGCTGATATGATCACTTTATTTTCTGCACATATACATGGATCTTTGCCAGGAATAGCCTGGTGGATTTGTACTTTTGTGTGAATTTGTATTTTTTTCCATTGAATTCGCTGAATGGAGAAGGGGATGGGGGAAGTGCAGTAGTATGCTGCCCAGGTAAAAGAGACTTCAATGTACAAAAAAACTCTGGTCCATGTGGACATAAGAAGGATGGTCTGGCCATAGTCATAGCAGAATTTCTACAGGAAAAAGCATACTTCTGCTGGAGAAAGAGGTACTGAAAAAAAAAAGCTTTATCAATGTCGAATTTCCCAATTGACATTATTTCCAAGATCCTCATCACTAGAGCTGAGTAATAATGATAATCAGTAATTACTATAATAAAGTCTAACCTGTATTCTGGGAAAAAGGGAATTGAAGTAATGCTTATATCAAGTTTCAGTTATGTGGCAGGCTCTGTTTTTAAATTCCTTCAAATTAGGGGCGCCTGGGTGGCTCAGTCGTTAAGCGGCTTCCTTCAGCTCAGGTCATGATCCCAGGGTCCTGGGATCGAGCCCCGCATCGGGCTCCCTGCTCCGCGGGAAGCCTGCTTCTCCCTCTCCCACTCCCACTGCTTGTGTTCCCTCTCTTGCTCTGTTTCTCTCTGTCAAATAAATAAATAAGATCTTTAAAAAATAAATAAATAAATTCCTTCAAATTAAAGAAATGTTTCAGTGACAGTTACTGAGTCTGTGCTTTATTCTAGGATTCAGAGAAACTGCAAGCCTTATTCCAAGCAGCCCTGGAGCTCAGCTCAAGCACTAAACCATACGACTGTGTGACAGCTTCCTACCTGTTGAACTTCTTAATCTGGCAGGATGCCCTGCCCTCATCTCTGTCTGCCTCCTTACAAACTCAGCAAGCTTCATGTGGAAATGGAGATAAGTCTGCTGTTGTGGTGGAGAGGAACACATTAATGGGTTTGTATTGGATAAATGACCTTTTGCTCTTGCTTATCCAAACCAGTGTCTTACTCTCTTGCTATTCATTTAGTTAGCATAGCTAGTGGTTAAACATTTATTTTGTGTTTTTTAAATTTTTTTAAAGATTTTTATTTATTTGAGAGTGAGCAAGAGAGGTTGAGAGTACAAGCAGGGGGAGTGGCAGAGGGAGAGGGAGAAGAAGGCTACCTGCTGAGCAGGGAGCCCGACTTGGGGCTCAATCTCAGGACCCTGGGATCCTGACCTGAGCCAAAGGCAGACGCTTAACCAACTGAGCTACCCAGGTGCCCCTATTTTGTGTTTTTTTTTTAATTGAAGAGTTTACTAGCATAGAAGAACACTGAATTTCTCTGTGAATTGCAAGTAAATAGTTTACTCAGCTATAACACTGTTTCTAAACAGAGGGTTCATGTTAAATAAGTAGATTATACAAATGTACATTAATAAAGCTCTTATTTAAATAGGATGTCTTGGGACACTTGGGTGGCTCAGTTGGTTAAATGTTTGCCTTCAGCTCAGGTCATGATTCCAGGGTCCTGGGATCGAGTCCCGCATCCGGCTCCTTGCTCAGCAGGGAGCCTTCTTCTCCCTCTGTTTGCTGCTCCCCCTTGTTTGTGCTCTCTACTTCTCTCTCTCTCTGACAAATAAATAAATAAAATCTTTAAAAAAAAAAAAATAGGACGTCTTTCTCTACCAAAAATGTACTTTTGGCCGGGGGGGGGGGGGCAGATATTTTACTATGACTATAGCTAGATCATCTTTGCTATTTCTATAAAGAGCAGAGTTCCTTTGCCTATCAGATTTATGTTTTAACTGACTGTCACACCCCTGCCTTTTACTCTTCCCATATAGCCAGTTCTAAAACCTAGTTGGTTGGTTTAGGTCTAGTAATTTCCAGCAAGTATTTCTTGGGGATTCATGTGCTTAATTTTGTGCTGGTAAATATTCACTTTGGAGTTGTATTATAAATAAGGACAGATAAGGATTTTTATTTTTAAAAAAAAAAAGGAGAGAGAGGTCAGATGTAGGAAAAGTGTTAAAAACTGTTCTCTCCAAGATGGTAAAAAATGCCCCGAGAAAGAGAACTAATAATGGGAGAAAGTTAGGAGGCCATGGGTAGTTCTGGTAGAAATGGGGATAAGGAGGGGACAAGTGCCATGGAAGATGGCACTTGTCCACTCTAGTTGCTTCAGGGCTGGGCTCAAAAGGAGACCCTGATACGTGACAGGAAGAGGTTTGCATTTGGGGTAAACTGTTCATGTACAGGCTTTCAAATTCAAGTCATTTAAAAACTCCATGAGATATTTCAAGCATACAAAAATAATTTAAATATAGATATAGGATTTAAATAATAATAGTATAAAAATGTCACAAGTTTTATTCCCAAGCTAGGTTATAACACCCAACTTAAGAAGTATAATAATACCCAAACCTTTAAAGCTTTTCTTCTATCCTAGCTCCCTCCCCCTGCCATATAATTACTCTCATATGGTTTATATCAGTCTTTCATCTTATTTTTACCAAGATTTTACCACCCATGTATATATCATTAAACAATATATTACTTACTTTTACATGATTTTGAATTTTATATAAATAGTATCATATGTATTATACGAATTTACTGCATTTTATTAATACCTTCTCCTGTTGAGGGACTTCTTTTTCCTAAATAAATAATGCTGATGTGAACATTCTCGTATATATCTCTTCTAATGGACGTGTCCAAGAGTTTTGGTAAACAAAAAAGTAGGATAGCCTAGTCATAAAGTATGTGCATCTTCAACTTAACTAGATGATGCCAAATTATAAATTTTGAGAGTTGTGGTGTATTACATCATCACTATAACTTGCTATTGTCAGATTTTAAAGGTTTACAGAATATGAAGTGGCTATCTTGTGGTTTCATCTTGCATTTTTCTTGTTGTTAATGTAATCGAGCATCTTTTTACATGTTTATAAGCAATTCACTTCTCCCCTTCTGTGAAATGCCTGTTCATGTTCTTTGTTTAGTTTTCTGTAGGGCTGTTTGTCTTTTTCCTATTGATTTTTAGGACTTCTTTGTATATATTAATGTTAATAATTTACTGGTTATGTTACACAGTTTTAAAATTTAAACTATAACTCTTGAGTGGTGAGAGGTGACATCGACTATGCTGGGATAACTGGATAGTTACCTGCAAAAGAATGAAGTTGAACCCACTTCTTTATACCATATACAAAAATTAGTTTAAAATGGATCAAAGACCTAAATGCAAAAGCTAAAAACAATAAAACTCTTAGAAGAAAACATGAGTGTAAATCTTTGTGATCTTAGATTAGGTAGTGGTTTCTTAGATCTGACACCAACAGCACAAGCAAAGAAAAAGTAGATAAATTGGACTTATTGAAAATTTGAAACATGTGTGTCAAGGATGTCATTAAGAAAGTGAAAAGACAACCTGTAGAATGGGAAACATTTGCGACTCCTTTATCTGATAAGGGACTTATATCTAGAATATATAAAGAATTTTTACAACTCCCTAGTAAAAGGATATAACCAAATTTAAAAATGGACAAAGAATCTGAATAGACATTTCTCCTAAAAGATAAATGTGAAAAATAATCACATGAAAAGATGCTTAGCATATTAGCCAGTAGGGAAACGCAAATCCAAATTACAATGAGGAAGCACTTCACACCCAGTAGGGTGGCTATAAACAAGAAAATAGATAATAACCGGTGTTGAGGGGATGTGGAAAAAGCAAAGCCCTCACACACTGCTGGCAGGAATGTAAAATGGTGCAGCCACACTGGAAAACAGTCTGGCAGTTACCTGGAAAGTTAAACATGGCGTTACCATATGATCCTACAGTTCCACACTCAGGCTGCTGTAACAAGATACCATCGCCTGGGCGTTTTAAACAACAAACATCTCTCTCTCACAGTTCTGGAGGCTGGGAAGTTCCAGATTAAGGTGGGAGCAATTTCAATTCCTGGTGAGAACCCTTTCCCTGGCTTCAGATAGCACCCTTCTTGCTCTGCTCACGTGGAGGAGAGGAAGCCAGTTCTGGTCTCTCCTCCTCTTCTTATAAAGACTCTAATCCTGTCATTGGGTGGGGGGGGAGTCCCACTCTCACAACCTCATCTAAACCTAATTTCTTCCTAAAGACTCCATTTTCAAATATGGGGCTTGGGGCTTCAAATAGGAATTTTGGGAAGGACATGAACATTTAGTCTATACTGGGCATATATTAAGAGAAATGAAAAGTATGCCCAAACAAAAACTTATATGTGAATGTTTACAGCAGAATTATACTTAATAGCCAAAACATGGAAATAACTCCCATGTCCATTAACTGATAAGTGGATAAATAAAATGTGGTATGTTCATACAGTGGACTGTTATTCAGCCATAAAAAGGAATGAAATAGTGATGCATGCTACAACATGGATGAACTTTGAAAACACTGTGCTAAGTGAAAGAAGCCACGTATTTTATGATTCTGTTTATGTATGTCCAGAATAGGCAAATCTATAGAAAATAGATAAGTTTTTGCTTAGGGCTGGGGAAGGTGAGAGGTACAGGGAGGGGAGTGACTGATAATGGGTAAGGGTTTTTTGGGGGGGTGGATTAAAATGTTCTAAAATTCACTGTAGTGATGATTGCATATATCTATGAATATACTAAAAACCATTGACTTACATACTTTAAATGTATAAATTGTGTGGTATGTGAACTATATCTCAATAAAGCCATTATTTAAAAAACCACAAAACAACAACTGTTCAAATAGCGCATGGCACATGGGCCTGGGGTCTGATTCCCCAGATAGAGGATGTCTAGGAGCAACGATTCAGAGTGAATGCTGAAAATGGATCCAGGAAGTTAGGGAAAGACACAGTTCTGCCTTCTTGACTGGAAATGTATAGCAGGCTGGATAACTTTGAAAAATCTCTTTTTTAATATAAAACCTCTAACAAAGTTTAGTTGAGTTGGATGTTTTTTTTTGTGGGGACTGCTTAGCTATTCACAAATTTATAAATGTGTTTTTAAGCTGGCATTACTTTGGTATTTTGTTTGCTTTTTCTAGTTATCAAATGCTTGTTGGAAAATCTTGAGGAAGAAGTATCTCAGGCTGAAAATTCTCTCCTTCAGGCAGCAGCATCATTTCCACTGTATGGGCGAGTTCACTGTATAACGGGCGCTTTGCAGAGGTTATCTCTAAAGTACGTGTACCACAGATGTCTCCTGAGCATGCGTTTCTGAGCTTTAAAGCCTTACTGCAATGTGTCCTGGGAAAGGAATATATTGCCTTAAAGATAATTAAAACTTAGATTTTAAAATGTACCTGTGTACACATATTTTTATATCTTAAATATTTCATAGATCGCACAATTTTGAAGCAGATCAACCTTTTATGTAATAATTTCCATTTAAAATTTTTGAATTTTGCTTTTAGTATAAATTTCCGTACTGTCCTTGTTGCAGCAGCCTACGGTTGGTGAGTGAATGGAGACCTGTGGTAGAGAAGCTCCTTTTGATGTCTTACAGGCTTTCTGCTGTGGTGTCTCCAGTCATTCAGAGCTCCTCCCCAGAAGGCCTCATCCCAATGGACACTGATTCAGGTCAGCAAATGAAAAAAGCTAGAATTCCTATATTTTTTGCTCATTATGCCTCTCCCTGCCAAATCATTTCTTTGGGAAGATATAGAAGCTAAGTAGGTGGGTCAAGAAGCTATTTATTATGATTAGTGATATTTCTGCCACTGTAGTAATGTCTTTAATTCTTAAAAAATAACCAAAACAAATAAATAAACCAGGTGATGAGCAAGGTACTTCCTCCTCTGGGGTAAATTGGATTTTCTAATACCAGGTAGCTGCTGGGGCTGGGAGAGTGAGCAATATAAATCAGGGAGGTGCGGTTTAGTCAGAGATGGCAGCTTATTAGGAATCGGGAATTTAATTAAAACAAAAAATGGGAGGAGATACTCAAAATGCCCCATTGAACTCATGAACTTTCATCTGCCTTTTCCCTACCAACTCCTGTGTCTTTGCAAATGGCCCTACCAAAGATCTGTTTGTGCAAGTCAAGAGCCTAGGAGTGCTTGACATCTCTCTTCTGTTCCTTACATCTTGCCTGTCCTCACGTTCTTTCAGGGGTACCCCTTAAATATCTTTCAAATCTGTTTTCTTTTTATCTGCCATCTTCTTACCTTACTCCAGGCTTTTATCTCTCTTGTTTGTGTAATTCTAGGGCCCTCCCATTTGGTTTCCCCCCATCTACTCTTGGCTTCTTCCATTTTCTTTTTATACTGTATCCACAGCAATATTTTCTTTTCTTTTTTTTTTTTTTTAAAGATTTTATTTATTCATTTGAGACACAGATATCTTCTGACTGTTTCAGGTATCATTAGTACT